TATTTGCTACATGGTCTGATTATATATATATATATATATATATATATATATATTATAATAAATTTTTTATTTTATTTTGTTATCATTTTTTAAATAAATTTTTACTTTCAAATAAAATATAATTCATATTTAAGTAATTTTTTTTATTATAAATAAAAAGAATTATAACATAATATATTAATATAATAATTAAATAATTATATTAATAATAATAAAGTTAAAAGTATAAAAAATATGTTAATATAATTTTATTATTTTATTTTTTAAATTTTATTTCGTTTAGTTTTGATTACATCTTATTTTTTGTTTAAAGACTTATTTATTCTTTAAATTATTTAAATATAATAAATGTAATAATTTATTATTAAATAAATTTATTATTTAAAAAATGTAATAATGTATAAATATTTTTAATTTTTAATGAAATATAATTTTTATTTAATATAATTATAAATAAATAAAATTATAACATAATATATTTTTTAGTAATAACAGAATTAAGAATATAAAAAATATATTATTAAATAACTTAATTATTTAAATATATTTTGACAGTTTTATTTTTAAATTATAATATATATATATATTCAAGCCGGCCTGTCAGGCTTAATTAAGCCTGTCTTATTCTTAAAAAAATTTTAAGTTTGGTTTGTTTATTAAAAAGGTCAGGCCAGGCTTAAACCAGGCCAAGCCACAGGCTCCTGTTAGGCGGCCTGACCTGTTTTTATCTCTACATGTATGATTTTGTATCGTTTAACTTCAATCTATGTATTGTTCATTGCTTTTTTTTTTTTTTTTGAATATCTTATTTTGTTTTTATTCTCAAGTCTAAAACATCTAACTTTAGAGGTTAAATTGATATGCTTAAAGACATACCACAAGACATTCACAAAAGCAGTTCATATAAATGATACGGTGAAAATTAAAACTTTACAGTAGAAATTATGGTCCTTCAAAAATCTAGTACCACTAGTTCTTCATTGGTAAACTCTTCTAAGAATGATTCGCATTATCTAGAGAAAGTAAACAAAAGGTTCAAATTGCCTCGGCGCTTAAGTTCAACATAGATTCAAATAGGAAAAAATTACTAGTCAGTTAACTAGTCATAGGTGGTTGGAAATATATTCAACGGCAAGATAACAGGAATGAATTTTATCAGCTTCCTTGTCTGGGATCTATAGCTTGAATTGCTCTTCTAGTGCTATTATAATTTTCACATTGTCCGAACTATTCAAATCCTAATTCTTCTAGAAATAGATATTTGGAGTCACTTAAGGGATAGAAAAAAACTAATAAACACATAAAAAAAAAATTATCTATCATACTTACACTTTATAAAAAAGTTGTATTGTTAAATATGCAAAATGGAATAATGAACATCACAATCAAATTAAAGAAAATGTTAGCAACATTTTTATAAAGTGCTAAACACAAGATAAACAAAAAAAAAATTAAAAAAACAAAAGAAATCTAATCTATTTAATTTAATGATTTGCGTGTTTAGAAGTTGTTCTGAAAATAATTTTAAAAGCTTCTAAATGAAAATTAGTTTTATGAGCAAAAGAAAAGCAAAATCAAAGATTTAAGAAAAAAAAAATAACAACGATCAATATAAAAACTTGAATGGAAGACAATGTACAGTGTACATGGTAGAAAAAAAAATATTTTTATAAAAACAACTTATTTAAAATTTTTGTAAAAATTAAAAGATTAAAATGAAATAAAAAAATAAATTGAAAGACAAAATCAAAATTCATCTTAAAGTTAAATAATGAAAACACTAATTTTACCAATTTTAAATTTTGAAGTCTAATTATGATATAATCTTAAAAAACATAGGTTTTTTCTCCAATATTTTCAATATTACTTAACAAAATTTTTAACTTCCATTAACTTTGTTTGGAACTTTTGCGTAAGACATGAAAAAGTCCAAACCTTTTATGCGGGCTAATTAAATCAAAAGAAAATTGTGATTTATCAAACCCAATAAAATAAATTTTATCAAGTCTATGTGAAATACAAATGCAGATCTTACAAGCCCAATTTATGCCAATCACTTTTTGCTTACTATCATTGCTTTCTTACATGCCTAAATTATTTTAGCCTTTAATTTTCTTAAATTTAGATCTCTTTCATTGTTGTTATCCTTAAGAAAAAATTGATACGTAATAATATTTTAATTTATTACATCATTATTTAATTGTCAATAGGATAAAAAAATATTAAATTCAAAAAAATTGAGGACTACAATAAAAAAAATTAAAAGAACTAAAATTAAAATTTTGTAAAAATTATAAAATTTTAAAAAATATTTAAACCTTAAAATTTTTTACCTGAACAACATATAAACATAATATCTTAAGTATTTATAGCATTATTTTTAATTACAATTACAATTTTATTTTTATAACTCATTAAAAACTGACACTAGTTGTTAGCCTAAAATTCTAATTTAAATTACAAAATAACATGAAAGACAGTTAGAATTCTGCACTTCAATTTTACCTATTTTTATTTTGCATTCTCTTCAACTTTCAATGAAGGTAAAAGAGAATACCCGAGTAACAAAAGTGCTTTGTTTGTTTCAAAAGAAAAAAATTATGTAAAGAAAGAAAATTTTTATGTGTTTGATGTTTTGTTTTATGTGAGTAAAAATCATATTGTTTTTTTAAGATTCACGAAACACTTTTTTCACACAAAATGTTGAGCTTTTGTGTGAAAAAGGTGGTGGAATTTTTTGTATTTTTTTGAAAATAATTTTTAAAATAATTTTAAAATTACATTATTAAAAAAATATTATATTAAAATTTTTAATTTTTTAAAATAAATTTTTTATTGTTATTATAAAAATATTTTTTATATAAAGTATATATTTTTTCCATCCATTCAAACGAGTAATTTTTATTTTATTTTTTGCTATTTTTTTCTTATTTCTATCTATCCAAATAATGCTTATTTTTCAGCTCATTTCTCATGTATTTGTTTCTTATCATTTTTTTTTTACTTAAGAGAGATGGATATTGGAGCATTTTGTAAATTGCTACATAAAATTACTTTAGAATTTATTTAATAATAAATCATTTCCTAATTTTTTTTATAATAATCACTTCCATGGCATGATAAGACGTTATGCAACGGTATTTATAATAATCATTTCCTAAAATTAAGGGTAACATGAGATTGAATTTTTAATTCTCTTTTAACAGATTCTTTATAATATATTATTAATGTAAATCAATCAATGTTGCAAATAGAGTGTAAAAGTAAAAATTAAAAAAAAAGCCATATAAAAATATTAAAAGCAACAACAAATTAAAGAAAACAACTAGTTTAAATGTACATGACATTTAAATGAATGTACAACTAAGACAAAATATTATTGATTTCTTTTTATTGGGTCTAATGTGTATAGAACATTGAAAATTATTGAGATACTAAGTGTAAGTATTTGAGTGTAAAATTGTAACTTTAATACTATGTTTTGAAATCCTAATTATAGACAAAAATATAAAATAACTATCTACTAAAAATGTTCTTCTACAACATAACTACCTAAATCACATTTTTTAAGTCAGTTTCGCATGTCATTCACGACATTTGTTGTGTGTTTTCACCTTCAACAACTAATAATTATTTTTAAAGCATTACAATTTGGACACAAATTTTCTATTTTTTTCTGAAGACTGTGTACAACAGAGATGGTTTGAATTGACTTGCTTGATGAAGTAGCTTTAACTAATTCTTAACAACGGCTAACAATGATAATATTTTTTTAAATCACCTCAAAATATTTTCTCTCAACCAATTTTAACATTTTTGTGTTGTACAACTTTACGTGCAAACAACCATTCATGAACCAGTTGAAGGTTTATTAAAATGTCATATTTTGACTAAAAATTATGTTTTCTTGATCATATCTTTCTTACAAAAACTAGTTGAAAATTCTTTCATTTTGATTAAAATTCTATGTCCTTTCCACTAAAACTTCATATGTTATTTTCGATCATCATTTATTTCATAAAAATATGTTGAAAAAAAAAAAACTTTATAAAGGGAATGTTACAAAATTTTAGTCAAAATATATACTTATGTTACAAACAACAGCTACAATCTAATGCTACAATATAAATATTTTGAAAAGAAGTCGTTAATTTTTATCTTATATTTCTCTGCCAAAATAGTTTAAATGTACTTCATTTAGATTGAGCCTTATTTTGAATAAAAAAACTTATTATTATTTGAGAAATTTTCATTTCTCCAAAGCACGCACAAAGCAAACTAGAAAAAGTACAAAACAGATAAATACTGATGCCGATTCTTGGTGGGAAATGGATTCTCTCCTGTCTGCGGGAAAATGGATTTGCTTAAGCCAATCTCTACAGTCTCAGATTTGCATAAGCAAATCTCTATAATTTCAGATTTGTTTAAGCAAATCCCTCTTTTCTTGTCTCAGCTCTCCTTCTCTCTTTTCCAAGTCCTGCTCTTCCTAATTAAAATTTAACTTCGATAATTAAGCTCTAATACCATTTTTTATCTTATAGATTATCAAAGCACTAAAACTTTAGTTTTAAGTGAAAAAAAACTGATATAAAAATATTTAAACCACAGCACCTAAATTTTGTAGGAACAAGAATTTATATTGTATATTGAAGTTGAAGTGCGTGCAGCTGACTCATGCAGTTCTAGATTAAAAGGAGAAATGAAAACGATGCAGATAACTTAGGAAAGAGAACAAAAGTTAAAAAAAAAAAAGGCATCACAAGACTCATGCACTTGTAGTTGACACGTCACAAAGGCGTCGACTTAAGTTGCTATGAATTACTATTTATTTGAGCCCCATTTTGACATTCACACTTCACCTTTTCTTCCTCAGAAGCATTATTTATCCTCTGCAATGCAATTAAAGTCACCATTTGTGTAGACATATCTATCATATTATATATATTTGTGTGCTCTGTAGTGAGCTAGAAGATATTTCATATACAGTAGCATTTGTAGTGATGATGCCCTTTGTTTTGGTTCTCTTATTTTCATTCGTAATGGGCAGTTCTAAGGGTCAGCTTCAAGTGGGTTTCTACTCCAACACATGTCCTCAAGTGGAGTCCATTGTCCATGCAGTTGTTAGAGATGCTGTTCTCTCTGACCACAATATGGCTGCTGTCTTGCTCAGGCTTCATTTTCATGACTGCTTTGTTGAGGTTACTGTATATAATAATAATGATGATATAATTTGTGTTTCTATGTACATGTTGATGTTTCTTTTTCATCAATTTTGTTTTTATTCCAAGACATGGATCATTTCAGGGGTGTGATGGTTCAATTCTGATCGATAATGGTCCACAATCAGAGAAACATGCATTTGGACATCAAGGGGTGAGAGGGTTTGATGTGATAGAAAGAGCCAAGGCAAAATTGGAAGCTTCTTGCCCTGGTGTGGTTTCTTGTGCAGACATAGTGGCATTAGCAGCCAGAGACTCTGTAGTCATGGTCCTAACTAACTTAATTAGTTAATTCATGCTTTTTTTCTTGATATTTCTATCGTTGAATGATTATCATTAATTAAAGTTGTTGTTAACTTGAGAACTCTGCATTTGTTTGTTCTTTTAAGTTGTTATATACTATGTTTATGTCTGAGGAAGTGTTGGATGATATTACATTATATATATGCAGGCAAATGGTCCAGGATACCAAGTTCCAACAGGAAGGAGAGATGGGTTGGTCTCAAATGTTTCGTTTGCAGGTGATATGCCTGATGTTAGTAATTCAATTCAGCTACTCAAGGTCAAGTTTCTGAACAAGGGCCTCACAGTGAAAGACCTAGTCCTTCTCAGTGGTACTCTCTCTCTCTCTCTCTCACACACACACACACTCGCGCTCGCATCATGCCAAATAGGTGAGATCATGGTTGGTGGAGAGGTAAAGTAATATGAACTTGTCTAAAGGAAAGCATACTACACCACATGCAATGGCCAAATTACCAAAAATACAATGTTTATAAATCTACTTTGTTCACAGTCACACAATGAAAGCAATTGAAGATGTTTTGTACCCAATTTGGGAAATTGATGGAGAAGTCCGGAGAATTATTTGCATACTGAGATCATATCTTATCAAGTCGCTTTATCTAATCCTGACAAATTTTCAGGATTCAAGAAATGTTGACACAACAACCACCATTATTATTTAATTAGCCGGAGACTGACCTAATAAAACAACATGGGTCTTAGTATTTTGGATTTTGAACAGTGCCATATGTTCCATTTATTCATTTAGAATAATGTTGGTTTGAATGAATCGATCCATGTCCAAAATTAAAATAAAATAAAGGATCTATCGGATTTTCTATTCAGTAGAGGTGTACATTAGTAATAGTGATATTAATGATATGAGAGACCTTGATTTAGTTCATGGCTTTGTATCAAATTTAGTTGTTGCTTACTAAATTATAATGAAAAATAGAATTGCTAAGATATTAAGTGATATTTTATTAATTTATTAAAAACAATGATTGGACCAATAGTCTGGCCTTGAATCATATTACTATGTGCGCTAGTATGGTTTCACTTTTCCCAATTCACTAGATGTTGACAGCCTCAGGTTTCGTATCAAACCTAACGCCAAATAATGGTTGATGGCAATACTTAAATTACAAATGGTGCACATGCAGCGTTACAGTTGTAACCCATATGGTTGATATTGACAATGATCTCTGTTTGTCTGTCTGTTTCTCACCCCCCCCCCCCCCTTCCTTTTTCCTTAGGCTTTTTTGTTTACTTCAGAAGAGCCAATTTACAGGATTTCTGGGACTCATATAATATAAGCTAGCGTAACAAGCAAGTAAGGAAAACAAGGGCTATGGTGTTTTTAACGGAGGGTGATTGATTAATTTGGTTTCCCAAATTGGCATTATCAGTAACTTAGTGTTACATCATAAGAATACAAATTTTATTAGAACTTTAACAACTTATAGATAATTTGATTTCTCTCATGATGTATGTCAGTTATCCTGACGAAATGTATCAAACAGCATGTTAAGTATTAGCATGGAGTCAATGTGGCAACCCACTTGACATGTGCCATTGGTGCACATTAATAGTAGAGAACAAATTGATTCATGATTGAAAAGGTCAAAATATTTACAACTATAATAGTAAAAAGGAGTCACATTTGCAAATAAGTGTTACATATATATTGTTAATTTCTTTTGATGGTGATGACGCATTGCTGTATATCAGCTGCACACACAATTGGAACCACAGCATGCTTCTTTATGACGAAAAGATTGTACAACTTTTTCCCAGCTGGTGGGGGATCAGACCCTGCTATTAGCCCAAATTTCTTACCACAGCTGAAGGCTAAGTGCCCTCAGAATGGAGATGTTAACACTCGCTTAGCCATTGATGAAGGGAGTGAAAAGAAATTTGACATAAGCATCTTGAAGAACATAAGGGAAGGTTTTGCTGTGCTAGAATCTGATGCAAGGCTCAATGATGACATAGTCACCAAGAGTATTATTGACTCCTATTTTAGTCCCTTTGGTCCATTTTTTGGACCTTCTTTTGAAGCTGATTTTGTTGAGTCAGTTGTGAAGATGGGCCAACTTGGAGTCAAGACGGGTTTCCTTGGGAATATTAGGCGTGTGTGCTCTGCATTCAATTAAAGTGAATAATGATCAATTTGATCATAATATTATATGCCTTCCTGTTATGTTATTTTTGGGGTGGAAGGATTCTTGTAAATCTCTTACCTCATTAAATCTATTGTTGCCCTGTAATTCAACAGGTCAATGGGTTCTTAATGAAAAGTCGCACTATTATTGCTATTTTGGCTTTGAGTTTGGATAGTTCGAAATCATAATTTGGACAAAGGCTTGTCTCTATGCAGTTTAAAAAATCGTGGTTTCAGGCTTATAATTTATTATTTTAGTGTTATTTTTTTATTTTATGCCTCTTAACTTCATAGTTTTTATCTTATTGTTATATATTTTTTTATTTTAATAGTTAAATAATTTATATTTATATATAATATAAAATTAATTACACTTACTTATTATTTTATGTATTTATAACAAAATTTTTAAAATTTATGATTATTAATTTATTTATTTTTCTATGCATTTATAATAAAATTTATGATTGTTAAAATTTGAAAGGTTTAAAGTCACTTTTATATGTTGTAAAATTTATTATTTTCAAAATTTAAAATTTAAAGACATTTTTATATATAAATAATAAATTTATATATTATTTTATATATTTATAATAAAATTTATAATTATTTAAATTTAAAATATTTAAAGTTATTATAAGATATATTATATAAACAAATTTATTATAAATTACATTAAATTAAAATTCATTATAATATTTTTTATAACATAAAATTGAAATTATAATTAATTTATAATTACTATTTTTAAATTATATTTAAGGCAAATTTATTAGAATTGATAGATATATAATGTTAAAAATAAAAATAATATTAATAAAAAAATAGTAATGATAAAACTGCTATGAATTAAATTTAATAAAAAAATTACTAATATTATATATATAAAAAAAATTATTATTAAATGTTAAAAATAGAAGAAAAAATATTCATTAAATGATAAGAAAGTATCTTTGTAAAAATTCAATAAAGTTCTTAGGTTACCTTTTAATTCAAAATAAAATTGCATCTTTGTTTTAAGTTTTATTAAAATTTGAATGGTATTAATTTAAATTATTTTATTAATTAGTTTAATATGTTATATATTTAAATATGTACTTCAAACTCTAAAATATACTTTGAATTAAAAAAACTTACACTTACACAATAAAAAATTTAAAAAATATTTATTGTCAAATGTTAGTGATTAAATTGCAAAAAATATTTTTACAAAAATCTAATGAAGTTTTTGAATTACCTTTTAAGTGAAAATAAAACTATATTTTTGTTATAAATTCTATTAAATTTGTGTGATATTGATCTAAATTATTTTATTAATTAATTTAATATATTTTATATTTAAATATGTACTTTAAACACTAAAATATATTTTAAATTAAAAAAGTATATTTACAAAATTATTATTTTATATTGTATATTATTAATTTTTTAATAAAAAGACAAGAAAATTATAATTTAGATGAACAAATTATATTTAAAATTGATTGTACCTACTTAATACTATATGTATTTACAACAAAATTTATAAATTTTTTTATTATTAAGATTTAAAAATTTTAAAATCACTTCTATATTTTGCACATACTTATTACTCTATATATTTATAATAAAAATTATGCTCATTAAAATTTATAATAATCAGAGTCACTTTTCTGTATAAATAATAAATGTATATACTATTTTATATATTTATAATGAAATTTATAATTATTAAAGTTTTTGGTGCTATAATAAATTTATTATAAAATATATTAAATTAAAATTTATTAAAAGTAATTATAATATTTTGAATAACTTAAGAATTAAAATTATAATTAATTCATATTTATTATCTTTAAATTATATTTAAATAAAATTTATTAGAATTGATGGTTATATAATATTAAAATCGATAATAACAAAATTGCACATTTAATTAAAAAAATTATTATAATTATTATATATTAAAAGTATAAAAAAATTCATTATCAAATGTTGAAAATAGGAAAAAAAATATTGATTAAATTATACAAGAGTGTCTTTGTAAAATTCTAATGAAGTTCTTAAGTTACTTTTTAATAGAAAATAAAATGATGTCATTACTTTAAGTTTTATTTAAATTTAAATGTCATTGATTTAAATTATTTTATTAATTAGTTTAATATATTCTATATTTAAATATATATTTTAAATACTAAAATATACCTTTAATTAAAAAATTATATTTACAAAATTATTATTTTATATTGTATATTATTAAATTAAATTTTCAATAAAAAGTCAAATAAATTATACATAAATAAAAAGGCAACTTTTATTATATTAATTTTTTATTTTATAACTTTTTATATATCATTAAATAAGAGTAATATTTATATGACTTTTGAAAACTTGTCTATGGTTTTTTCTATTATCTTTTATTACTTTTTGTATTATATAATCATGTTAACGGTCAAAAGTTATCTATATAAGTAAGTACATATATTTGTATGTTGATAATTTTTTATTTTGTCTCACTAAATTATATTTTTGTATTTCATTTTAATTTGTTGACTAAGTATAAAACTTTAGTATTTTTAAGTGATATCATGTATTGAATTTTATCTTTAATGGATTAAATATTATTAAATCTATCAATATTTTTTTTAATTAATCCAATGAAGTCCTATACAGTGATATCAATATTTTATTTTAAAATTTATAAATAAAAATATTTAAAAAATGATTAAGAAAAATGATGAAATTTCATGTTATAAATATTTAATTATTTTTATAGTATTCATAATATATTATAGTTAAAATATCTAAACTAATCATTTTTTTCATTACCAACACAAGTTGATCGTATTAATTGAAAATGAATTTCATATTATTACAAATAACTATTTATTTTTGTGTTTTTCATACTTTTGTAGGAGAACAACAACTTCCAATAAAGATAAATTGATATTTTTTATAATCTGAATTCAACAATAGATGATTAAAAAATAAAAGTGCTGAAGTACTCTAAGAATATATCGTAAGAAAGAGTTAATCAGTATTGATATGTAATTGCTGAAAATGTATTAGCATTTATATTGTTTTCTTATTATAAATTTATTATTTTTAACAAATCCTAATTATGTTGTCTTTTATGTGTTGTTATATATTAACTAACTTCTAATTGATTTATTTTTTATTTTTTGACTAATTTTTTCTTCTTATAGAAAAATTACATACATACTTCAACAAGGAGGGGTATTACTCATAAGTTCAAGGATATACTAAAGAAAGGAAAAATATTCTTCATAAAAAATATTCTTGTCAAAAAAATACTAAAAAATCATCTCATGTTGCAATTTTATGACATAACTATTATGAAAAAAATTAGACTATAGCATAATTCCTTATCGTATTTTTTAATTTGTGAACTTTGAAAATTTAAGAAGTAATTGTGAAAATAACGTCTTAACAAGTATTTTAACATAAAATTTTACTTAAATATGTTATATAACGTCTTAGCATACAATTCCTCTTGAAAAAAAAGTAACTGGTCAAAAGTCAACACAAGATTAATGTCATAACACTTCAATTACAAGATATAAGGTATAAACAATTATTTTAAAGTTACAATTTATTATTAATTAAAAAATATTTTAATTTTAGTTAAATCATTTATAAGAAAAATAAAGTAAAAGTAACAGTATTGGATAATTTTATTGTATTGTTTAAAAAATAATAAAAAATAATGTCTAAGATTTCAAAAAAAATTATTTAAATAAATTATATAGGTATGATTCCTATTTAATTATAATAAATATATGAGTGTATATATTATAGGTAATTTTTTTTCTACGTTAAAATCAACAACAAAAATTTACATCAAAATAACAAAAAAAAAAGATTCACGTCAATATTAATGTATAAAAAGTTATTTATTTTATAGATTCATTAAAATTATATTAATTTTTTCTTATTATAGTGATTATTGATAATATTTTATATTTTTTTACAAACTAAATTTTTAATTATTCATTATCATTTTATTTTTGAACATTTTATAATGATAGTACTATAAGATTACCAAATTTGAAGAAAATAAAAAATATATAAGATTTATAAAAAATAATATAAACTCATAGGCACATAGATGTGGTGGGTGAGTTTATTACTAAAATTTTTTTACATACACAAAGATTCAAACCTAAGACTTTACTTAAAGATACTGAGTCACTTGTCACTTTGACCAATCTCTTCCACTGATTTACATAGACATATTTACTATTATAAAGTAATTTTTTAAGTATTATATAAATAATTTAATGTTTTTCTTAAGTTTTAAATTTTTTCTTAAATATGTACTAATTTAAATTAAAAAAATCAATAAATAACATAAATAATTAATAGTATAGAAATACAAATATTAAATATATTATAAATTTGTACATTTATAAATCTAGTTATAAATTATATTAAGAAACTTTTCTATTGTATACAACTGAACGACTATAATTTTAGGAGCAATGCCCCAGAAAAATGGTGTTCCAGCCGGTGGAGAAATTGTTGTCACAGGATGTAGGAGGGATAAACTATCTTCAATCATAGAGAGCCTCAATCCTATAATAAGTGCTTTGCACGTATTTAACTGTTCTGGTAGTTGAGAACCAATCTAATAAAAAAATATTAAATAAGATATATAGTTGGATGGTGAAAATTTAAATTAAAAACTGGGAAATTTTAGCATTTATCCGTAATTAGAAATCTTACGTTGGTTGAATAGGTCAACGGGTTAAGGGAAAATACAATCTAAACATTTGTCTTACCAAGTATAGCAAAGGCAAGAATGTCATCATTAGTGTCAATTGCTTTCTAATGGGTAATGCAGATATTAATATCATTGAATCTTCTTTGGTTTCCAATGTTTTATGCTACGAAAACGGGCAATGCTTACACAATTTGAGCTCAGCTTGTAATGCTTGCACAAGAGAGAGGAACAGAAGGAAGGAAAGAGGAATCTAAGGACAGATAGAAACAACTATCTATCTTTTCATTCCTTATCTTTCCTTCGCCTTTCCCTCTAAGCAATTATCGTTAAGGTACAAATCACAATTACCCTTTTATTTCTATATGTGAAAAGAAATCCATACACATTTGTGATTATGCCACAATAATTATCAGTTCAAAAGTCTTATTCTGCCCTTCGGTGCTCTCCAAGCAGGTAGGATCATTCAGAATATTTTTAATGTTCTTTTTAGGTATCTCCATAAATTTAAAACCTATAAATACTTTGTTTTCCCACTAAGTATATAAAACGAAGTTCATGTTACAAATTTATGCAAGAATGAAAATTTATCACATTTGAACAATTTGAAATGTGTTAAAATTATGACACTTGACAAAATAATTTAATAGATTTGCAGGGTGCAGCAATTTTGAACACATTTCATAAGGTGATATTGTTGAACCAAAGTTGAGAGCAACAAAATCAGCACATTTAGCTCCCACATCCATAGCAAATTAAAACAATATTTAGAAGCTAAGAACTAAAGCATGCCTCCAAGCTCAATCAGAAGAGCCCTTGGGGCAGTGAAGGATCAAACAAGCATAGGCCTAGCTAAGGTGGGAAGCAGCACCTCACTTGCTGACCTTGATGTGGCCATTGTGAAGGCAACAAGGCATGATGAGTACCCTTCTGAAGAGAAGTACATTAGGGAGATTCTAAGCCTAACATGTTACTCAAGGGCATTCATCAGTGCATGTGTTAATACTCTCTCAAGGCGTCTCAGCAAGACAAAAAGCTGGACAGTGGCTTTAAAAACACTTGTTTTGATTCAAAGGTTGCTTTTAGATGGTGATCCAGCATACGAGCAAGAAATATTCTTTTCAACTCGACAAGGGACTCGCCTTCTCAACATGTCTGATTTTCGAGACAACTCAAAATCTGGTTCATGGGACTTCTCTGCATTTGTGCGCACATATGCATTGTATCTAGATGAAAGGCTTGAGTACAAGATGCTAAGCCGGCGTGGAAGGCGTAGCATGTATGGTTTTGATGAAGATGATGAGGAAAGGGAAAGAGAAAGAGAAAAAGAAGCGGGTAAAGAAATCATTCTAAGATCCACACCAATGCGTGACATGAAGTCAGAGAAACTCTTTTCCAAAATGCAGCATCTGCAGTTGCTGCTTGAGCGCTTTCTAGCTTGCCGCCCCACAGGTCTGTAATTGTAATTACTAGACCACAAAATATGCTAGTGAAAATATCTTTTCACTCAAAATGTGTCATTTATTATCTCTCATCTTGATTAAACATGTTTATTTAATCAAGTATGTATATCAATCAGTTTACATTATTATTTAACATAGATGAATAATCATTTCCTTCTTATTTAGTGTTAACACATTACATGCACAATATTTTCTCATGGTTATTTTAATGCATCAGGAGGGGCAAAGAACCATCGAATTGTGATAGTGGCTCTCTACCCAATTGTGAAGGAGAGTTTTCATATATATTATGACATATCAGAAATACTAGCTATCTTAATTGACAGATTCCCAGACATGGAGGTGTCAGATTGTGTTAAGGTGTATGACATTTTTTGCCGTGTTGGAAAGCAATTTGATGAGCTAGAACACTTCTATGCATGGTCTAAGAGCATTGGAGTTGCACGGTCTTCTGAGTACCCAGAGCTTGAAAAGGTAACTCCAAAGAAACTAGAGGTCATGGAAGAGTTTATCAAGGACAAGTCTGCCTTGGCACAAAACAACAAAGTTGAAGTAGAAGAGAAAATTGAAGAAGAAACCGAGGAACCAGAACCGGAACAGGAACCAGAAGAGGATATGAATGCAATCAAAGCACTTCCACCACCAGAGGAAACCAATGAGGAACCAGTTGAAGTAGTGAAAGAAGAGCCAAAGGAAGAAAAGGTAGTGCAAACGGAGGGTGATTTGTTGAATTTAGGTGATGACATGGTGACGAGTGAAGAACATGGGGACAAACTAGCCTTGGCTTTGTTTGATGGGGCAGCACCAGCAACAGGTGCAACACAAGCACTTCCATGGCACGCATTTGATGAAGAAGCAGATTGGGAAACAGCATTGGTACAATCAGCTAGCAACTTGTCGAACCAAAAGCCTGCATTAGGTGGTGGGTTTGATACATTGTTGTTGGATGGCATGTATAAACAAGCAGGAATGAATGTAACCATGCAAGGACAAGGTTATGGGGTGAGTGGAAGTGCAAGTAGTATGGCACTTGGTTCAGCTGGAAGGCCTGCAATGCTAGCATTGCCAGCACCACCAACATCAGGGAGTGATTCCAATTCAGGAAGTGTTGATCCATTTGCAGCTTCATTGGCTGTGGCACCTCCTTCTTACGTGCAAATGTCAGAGATGGAGAAGAAACAAAGTTTATTAGTTGAAGAACAGATAATGTGGCGGCAATATGCGAAGGATGGCATGCAAGGACAAGCTGCACTCGCTAAGCTACAACCAAATAATAATAATTCTAACATGGGAGGATATCCACAGAACTATGGTAATTACTATCGTTAACTAGGATAGATTTTTGGTTAGTTGACGCCTTATACCCACTCCTTCTCCCTTTTTCTTCATTCTAAGGGGTTGTAAATTTTACTCACTCCATTAGAAGAAAAGAAACGCGTGTTTTCCATCTTTTATTAGGAGCATGGATGAAAACTGACATTAAATATTAGTGATGTCTGATCACTCTCAAAGGACAATCAGAAAAGGTATCAAACTGACACTGTTTTCTTCTTCTGTGCCTACTTCAGAAAAGGTTTTTGTAAACAACTCTCTCCCCACAGCACAAACTAAAAAGAAACCATCATAAATTTTTCCTCTCCACTTTTAAAAAAGTAAATTACTATTACAATTTCTAAAATTGAGAATTTTTCAATACACCAAATGTATCTCTTAACAAAAAAATAAAATAAAAAATACTCCATTTCAAGGGTACAAAGATCAATGAATAATTTTCTCTTCTTATAATAAAATTTTATTATTTAAACTACTAATATATACACATACATGATAAAAATCTACTTTAAATATATACGAAAAAAAATTTGTACTAATATAAATCTAAAAATTTTTACATTCAATTTAAATATTTTATTTAACTTATATATAAAATAATAAATTATAAAATATTAGATATAAATTAAATAAGAGACTTAAATAGAGTGTAAAATTTTTTAAACTTATAACAATGTAAAAAGACTCTGTCTATATATATATATAATAATAATAATAATAATATTCTATTTTTATGGAACAAACAATATTTTTATTCATATCCATAATTAGGAATAAAATCTTTATTAGTATTCTTAAAAAAATTCATTATTTTACAATTAAAATTCATCTTAATAACCAACGTGTCTTTTCTATTTAAATATTATAAATTTAAAAATTATTTTTTTATTTTTTGGTTTTATTGAAATTGTTTTCTTGTTGGGGTGGATTTGCAACATAAGCATAAATTTCGCCACACTAATGACAAAAGTGTTTATTTTTTTATTTTTTTATAATATACTTCACTACGTTGCAAAATCATAAAGATCAAGCCATGCACTCAATGATTTTGTCACAACTTTGATGAAATTAAGAGAGTTTCGCCATCAACAGTGTATAACTCATAGCGTAATTACACGTGACGGTGACGTTAATAATTTTGCTATAAGAATTGCAAAAGTCTTAAAATTAAATTTTAAAAAAAATTAAAATTTCAAAATAAATGGGTAGAGAGCTTTCTGAACAGGTGGCAACACCGTGATAGTTGCACTCTGTTAATAGCTAAATTCAATTTCGCCACATTTTGGCGAAACTAATAATTGGCTGACACGTGACAGTGATACAGTAACCGTTTCTTGCCTTTTTTTTTTCCCCCTTTTTCTTTCTTTCCTCTTTTTATCTTCTCCTTCTTCTTAAGACGTTAGTTTCTCTTCTAATTTTTTCTCTCAACTTTGTGTACGGTGTGCAATATTTATAGTCAAAATTTCTCAATTTTTAGACTTTTATTTGAGATATTAATCATATTATTTGTTTTTATATATTTTATATTTTGTTTTTTATTTAAAAAATTTGAAAATGAAAAAAAAATTAATTTTATAAATTTTGTAAATTATATATGATTGGTGACTAGTGGAACAATTATAACGAAGGTTAAAAAAATGTTAGTAAAAATTTGTTTGTTAATTTTAAATATTTTTACATTAATTTGTGTTTAGATTAAAATGTTTTAAAGAAATAAAGTTGTAGTGTAATTGACTAAAATGTAATTTTGTAATTAGTTGTTAGAAAACAAAATAATTTAATGATATTTTTTAAATATATGTTTGCATAATTTTATTAATATGATGTTGTATAATATATTTTTTATATATTTATTTAGAGAATAATATAAAAATATTTAACTAAAAAAATTTGATAATAATAATGAGTAATATTAAGTTTAATTGTAATAAATATTTTTTACACCCATTTATTATTTATTTAAGTATGGTTTAAAAATTTTAAATTTTATAATTTAATAATAATATAAAAGTTAATTTTATTTAAATAAGTGATAATAATAATTTGTATGCAATATATATATATATATATATATTGTAAATATTTAAAATGTAATAAATTAATTAATTTATATGTAGGTAATAAGGTTTTTTTATTTAAATAAAATAATATTTTTTATAAAAATTTTACTAACTAAGATGTAATAACGATATTCTTATATGTAAGTAATTTAAATGATTTTAATTTAAATCTATTAGTAATATGTATGTAAATTTAAAAGATACTTGGTGCCACGTTAGTAATATAAATTTTTGTAATGTAAATGTAATCATAATTTGTATCTAATTATAATTTTTTTTAGCTTAATTATGTTAGTAATTTAACTTTTTTTTAATGAAGATGTAATTTAAATTTGTTTGTAAATATAAAAAAATATTATGTTTAATTATGTTAGTAATTTGAATTTGTTTAAAATATGATCATGATTTGTATGTAAATCTAAATAAGATTTTGTTTAATTATATTATTAAAATTAACGAAACTAAATTATGTATTGTAATTAGGTTAGTAATTTAGACTTTTTTAAATGAAGAATTAATAGTAATTTGTATGTAAATATAAAAAATATTTTTTTGTATTATGTTAGTAATTTGTTTTTTATTTCAATGTAATCATAATTAGTATCTAATGATAAAAATTATTATGCTTAATTATGTTAGTGATTTAAATTTTTTAAATTAAGATGTAATTTGAATTTGTATGTAAATAAAAAAATATTTTCTAGTATTATGTTAGTAATTTGATTTTTATAATTTAAATGTAATCATAATTTGTGTGTAATTATAAAAAATATTATAGTTAATTTTGTTAGAAATATTTTTTAATTAGGATGTAATTATAATTTTTTAGTAAATTTAAAATTTAATATTTAAATATGTTAGTAATTTGATTTTTTTTAAAATGTCGTAATAATTTGTATGTAAAGATAAATAAAATTTTGTTAAGTTATGTTATTACATTTAAAAAGTTCAAGTTTGTATTGTAATTAGGTAAGTACTTTGATATTTTTATTTAAGAAATACTAATGATTTGTATTGAATTATAAAATAATAGAGTTGATATTTATATAAATAATATGATTTTAAATTTAAATTTATCATTATGATGTAATAATAATGTCTGTAAAAATATAAACTATTATTAATGAAGTTAATATTTGTATTTAAATATTTTTTATGTATAAATGACATCATCTTTATGACAGAATAAGATTATTAGCAAGTTGATATTTGCTATATTATTTGCGCCAAAATCGTGCCTTTGAAAGTTCTAAAAGAAATTGTGATGTCAGATACTAACACAAGTGATTATTCTGTGACAATTTTTTTTAAAAAAAATTCAACACTTTTACCAATGCAAAACTATTGAAATTAATTAACCCAAACAGGAAAATAATTTTAAAAATATAATAAATTAAGAATTTATCTTTTAATTTACATTATTGTACAAATCGTCCATGTAAAATTTTAATTAAAGAAAACTATTTAACTTCGTACATGTAATGAACTCAAGGCCAATCAACACTAGCCCATTTGGTTTAAATTTAAATATCCACATATATTAGACCAATCACTTATTTTAATGGACCTTTTTTAATATAGTAAAACAATGCAAACAACCCAGCTTCAAAAAGTTGGCAAGTTTAAATTTGTTTTTCTTCATTGATGTTTTTTTGGGGCAAGCTTCATTGAAGTTTTAATGAACCTATAAACACTTGTGCCATACAACACCAAAATACTTTTTGTATTCCTTATTGTTATTATATAACCATATTATAAATTTATAAAAAACTGCACTTGAAAGGAGCCTATTTTGTAAAAATGTTGTTATTTCAATTTGACAAAAACCAATGTATCAATTCCTATATACTATTTAAATATTAGTAAACAAATAACACAGCGCTTCAGCTTCTTCCATCGTGATATGGAATTGCAAAATAGAGGTATGCTATCATTTCCTCACTGTTCACAACAAAATTTCGGAGTTCATGAAGTGCTTGTTTGGAATGTGTCCAAAAACAATCATGTTAAACCAAATTTTAATGTAAAATCAATAACTAATCATAAAACATGCTATAACTAATCAGAGTAACTACTTCAAACCAAACTCTTCCAAATCATAGAAAAAATCATTTTAACCACCCAACACCATCTAGTGATGACATAAAACCCACTTTGCAAACGTATTCCGGTAACTGAGCATTTAAATCTAGATAGCAGTAGAACAAGGGCACTTTCAAGACTGCAATCCTTACAAAGGGTCCCAATAGTTCATCAGCGAGGTAAAAACTTAACAACTCATCCAAAGCGCTCCAGACAATTAGGTAACCCCGAAACAACATATACTAGTATAAAGGCGTAAAAATGTAGATTTCAACCATTAAAGGAAACAGGCAGTCACTGATATTAGCAATAGTTTTCATTTCTCAACAAAATGTATTGCAAATAGTAAAACATAACTAACACAAATCCATAGTGAAACAAAACAAACCAACATTTCAGAAACAGAAAAACTGCAAAAATCTAATTCTCCACCTAGAACAGAGAGGTTCCCTTGCCCTTCTTGTCTCCGCCAATCTCAAAATGCTTGCACCTCTGCACAACAGAGATAAGAACTGACCATTAACCACACACCCAATGCCAAACAACCAGGTTAAACAACAAAAGCGTGCTTTGATTTCATCATACAAACCTTAATAGGATGTTGGGAGACATGCTTGCAACCCTGGCATTGCAACCTCAGAACAATCTTCTTGGTGGTTTTAGCCTATTAAATTAAAACAATTAATAAATAAATTACAAAAAAAGGGTTTATATGAAACAAATAGAGATATAAAAAGGAGCAAAATGGGTTACTTTCTTGTGGAAGACAGGCTTGGTTTGACCACCATAACCGGACTGTTTGCGATCATAACGTCGTTTTCCTTGGGCAGCAATGCTGTCCTTACCCTTCTTGTATTGAGTAACTTTGTGCAGTGTGTGTTTTCTGCATTCCTTACTCTTGCAGTATGTCTTCTTCGTCTTTGGAACGTTCACCTATTCACAACAACAACAAAACCCAATCCAATACGGTGAAGACATATTTCTCAATTTCAAATCTAATTCACTTAGCCAAGGCTATAGCACAATTCCATTGATCCCAACGGAAAAAAAATTAGAGTAGATGATAATAGCAGTGTTAATGGTTCCTGGTGAATAATAACAAATGAAGAAAAGGAAGTGACAGAAGGTTACCATGGTGACGGCGCGTGCGATCGGAGTCTGGAAGAGGCAGTGTTTTGTTATGCGCCGCGAAAATGAGACACCAAAGGGCAATCCCTGAACTTTAATGGCTTTGGGAATTAGGGTTACGTGGAGCCGAGGGCTGGGCTGGGCTTTGTTTTCTTGCTAGAAAATTAAATGAGGCCCATTCTGACCCAACGTCCATTACCCACTACCAAAAATATGAGCCGACTGAAACTTTGGTATCATAGGAGTTTGTTGCCATGATTTGATTTTAAAATGAATTTAGACAAATAATTTAATCATTTAATTAGTTAAAATAAATTATTTTAATAATTTTTTCATGACTATTTTTTATATAAACTAAAAATTATAATATGCTTCTACAAATTCAAATAATCTCTTACAAATACGCTCATATGACATTAATTTATCCACCAAGCAAATGGCGTAAGGGGCTCGTTGCTAATCCTCCTAGCTTAAAAACTTGGAATACCATCCTTTACCTACTGTTCTTAATCCATTCGCAATTTTAATTTATAAATTTTCGTATGATTTTATTTCATTAACAATAGAATTAACATTTCTTTTGCTGTAAACTTTTTCTAGAGGGGAGCCTTTATTCTATTTAAGTGTTTTACTTTGTTTATAGCATAAGACATTGTTTGAAAAAAAAATATTAAGTAACGTATTCAAACAAATGCTTAATGTTTTGACTATATTATTACGATTAGGAATAGAAATATGTCAGACTGTCTAATGGAGATATACTACTTAGCCTTTTTTAAATCATATCTTAACTTGGTTTATTTTAAATAATAAACTTAATTTAAACTTTTTAAGAGGTTTATTTAATTAAATAGGTAATGTTTGACAACTTAAATTTTTTTTTATTAGGCCTGATAGAATATATTAAATAAATTAAATCTTAAAATAAATAAAATTTTTAATTAAAAACTAAAGTTAGAAAGTACGCCTATTACATATTCTTCGAGAAAAAAAGTGTCATTTACTATAATTTTTTACGTTACTATTGTTTAATCTATTTTGTAGACAATGCTATAATATACTTTTGTGTTTTATTACACATTTAGTAATTTACTTATTTAAATAAAAAATATAAATTTAAAAATAATAAATAGATATATATATAATTTTATTACAAATATTTAAGGTGTTGAACAATTTTTTTTAGCTTATTTAGATATAAATTTTATGACCTTTATAAAAATGTACTTATTTATAGTTTAATGGCCTATTTATAAAAAAACTTAATTATCTATTAAAAATTTACTTAAAAAAAGAAGAGACATATTTATTATCCACTTGGAATCATGTCTTCTTAAGACTGTTTTGGATGCATAATACAATTTTAGTAGTAATATTCTATTTCAATTAGGAAATGCATATGTTTGGGGTAGTATAAACAATCAAAGGATAATAACTCATCACTATTAATGGGTGACTCTACAATTTCTTATGAGCATGGACATCTCAAATAATTCAGTCATATAATTCTTCATTATCTGCATATAGTTTCTTTTTTTTTTTTTGTTCATTTTATATGAAATTTTAGCATAATATTTCTATTCAACAGATGTGATTATTGACAAGTAAATCATTAAAAAAAATTAATAAGTCAAAGCATATTTTTAAAAAAGTCAAATTAGACTTAATATAAATATAAATTAATATATTAGACTCAAATTTTAAAATTATTAAATAAGTTAAATTTATTTATAAAAATCTAACATAACCTAATTTATTTCCATCTCTGATCGTGACTATTCTTTACTCTTTATTTTAGTCTCATAAAAAAAAACCGTAAAAATGTTTAGAGAAAAAAGAATGAAAATAAAAAACTTGAAAGGGATACGCTAATTAAATTTGAAAATTGTTAAACATAGTTGAGACGGTCACGGACTTTGCGAGTGACAAATACCGTCATGTCGGATCTCAAATTCCCTTTAGGAAGAAAAAGAAATGGTATAACCCTTTCCACACAATATTTACAATTGAACACATGTCTAGATGAAAAGTGCTTCCATTATGTCACCTCATGAGGATGATAAACCTACAATGGTGTTATGTAAAGACTTGCTTGTAGATATGCCCATGCATCATTACCCAACTTGATGGAAATATTATCCAAGGAGTGCCAGGGAGGTGGTAAGTTTGTTGATCCATCGTTACTCTGCTTAGGAAACTGCATTTCTGTAAGGCGTAGCTTATTCCACATGGATCAAACAGTAGACTATTCAAACATAGAGCCAGATAGTGCAATACTTGAGAATGATGTTGAAAAAGGTTTACTTTACAGATTGGGAAAACATCTCCCATGATTAGCATACAATGTCATGATTGAAATAATTAGTATTCAATTTCAACATTTCCAAGTTAATCAATCCAACATCAAGACAATTTCTTCGTTGAGACGCCCAATCTCATCCCTACAGAAACCAAGGTCTCCAGTGATCTGGTGCTATTTGCTAGAAGGTCTTCATCAATTGCAATTGAATTCTGCAGAGTACAAAAAATCAAAATCAAAATAAGTAAACAAAAACAAAACAAAAAAAAGGATCACACTGCTTGCGTGTATTTCACTCTGAGAAAGAAACGATCGATCTCAGTAACGGTGCACTTCAGTAGTGCCGTCTTCTCAAAAATAACTAAAAGCCCTCTAAAGATGAAGTTTTTAAAATAGCAATAAATTGAAGTTTCTAACATCAATTATATATTTGCATCAATTGTAGCTAAAAGCAACGATGCACTTCAGTAATGCCGTTCTCTGAATTATATTGTCAAAAGTTAACCAAGATAGTTTTTTATAATTGATATGAACAGAAATAATTATTAAGCATTAACTGGTTCTAAACGCAAATATACTTCAACTACCATAAACGAGTTGAATGGTGAGAAATATTTCTGTCTTCCTCCAGCCTGATTTCCCGTTTGATTTCTATGTTTTCTTATTTACATGTTAGTCGACCTATTAAGCTAGGTACGCATACGAGATGAGAACTCATCAATCTCCATTATGATTCTGTACAATCCTATAAAAAATTGGACTTTAAAAAATCATGTCAAATCCTCGTCAATCTCCATAGCACACTGTAAAGTTCGGCCTTGTATAAAATAGAAATGCCAAGAAGCATGCATGCAGAGGTTTATAATTAGTTTATACTTAGACTCGAGTAAAACTTTCTAATTATATTGGATATCGACTTCTTTTGCCTTTGGCCAGTAGTTTTTCTTTAAATAATCATGTCATGAATCAACAGCATTTCTACATCCACCAGTTAACAAATGACCAATAAACATAAGTATTCCATGGGCTTATAGAAGGGGGAGTACATGAGATTTTAGAAGGTAAAATATACAAGTTTTGTGATTTGACATGAATTATTGGTACCCCATAGACATATCATACCATGTAAAATCAGGAATCAGAACCATTTCAAACAATTTTACAATAAGACAAAAAATTAATTTAAAAAATAAAAATCAGTATAATAAATTATAATACCAACCTTTTCAAAAACGCAAATTACAGTGCTTCCACCGAATGAGAAATATCCAAACTGTAAATTAAGCAAAGAAAAGCCACTTAGAAACAATGACAACATATAAGATTGGAAGACGATCATCAACTATAACTTCCCAAACCTCATCTCCCTTCTTGACATAGTCACCCTTTTTCTTTGTAAAACTAATGCTACCAACCATTGTAGCCCCTATTGCAACAAATGCCACCTGAATCCAAATTATAAGATTCAAATCGATACAGTTTTGCAGCTATAAGATAAAATACAAGCAGTAAATACAGTGAAATCGTAGGCAACTAATTGAAATCATTTCAGGAACATAACAAAACTTCAAAATTATAGCAAAAGATATAAAAACATGAGTAAAAAAAATTGCATAGATAAATTATATGCTTTTAATAAATGAATAGGAACCAAACCAAGAAAAAATTTAACATGTAGAACACAGAATAAAATGCAACAGGGAACAGGCAAAAAGCTATGTATAAAGTTATACAAGGTAAGAAAATAGTCGTAACTTGTGTTGCAATCTAAGACATAGCAAATTGGAAGAGGAATAACAGATTAAAACATTATATAGAGAATTAGAAAAGAAAAAAAGGAAAAATTCACAACTGAAGCAAAGGGTAGCTCTCCAAAAAACAAAATATGATTAGCAATTGCCAAGTGAAGTGAAGTGGTTTATAAGTGTTGTCCCCAAAATCATATTTTCCAATAAATTCATATGCATAAATTTCAACAGGTTAGAGTTATAAACTCATGCACTTAGACAGAGAAATTAATTGCAATGATCAACCTTTCCAAAATCTACAGTTGAAATTATTGAAACGACTCTCTTGTTCTCTGTGAAGACATTGCAGTACTTGCTATTTACAGCGATGGGATTGACCTATAAGGAGAACACCAGATAAGAAATGCAAATGAGAATTAACAGAGAGAAAATAGACAGAGTATATATATGAAATATTATTTTACTAAAATTATTGTTACACATACTGTATACAAGCATCCAGGGATATCTACAGATTGCTCAATAATTCCAGATACTGGAAAATGGAAACGGTGATAATCCTGCAGTAAGTAAATGTCAAAATTAAAATTGCAATCACATTATGTACAAAATCAGTGACTTTGAAAGAAAAACAAATACCTGTGGTGCCAAACGGAAAATGACCATTGTTCCATCAACAAAAGCACTGGAACACATTTCTTTCCCCAGAAGGCCCTGAACCGAAAACTTACGACCCTAAAAGTAACCACAAATAATCCCAAAAGCACTTCATTTGGCATATATAAATGAATTTGAAAAGATTGAAGGACGAGAAAAAGAAATATACTAAAGTTTTAGAGAATCTAAATTTCCTTGCCTCTAGCTGGCAACAATTTCAATCACTAGCTTTGCTGAATATTATAGTACAATCTCTTGGATTTAAAAAGATGAAATAGACAAAATATCATAAAGAAAAAGCAGTGAACAGAGTGTAAGTTACAAATCATAGGGTCATTTCAACATTAAAAATTGTTTAAGCACCTAAATTGTTTCATATGTTACATCTCAAGTTTGATCTCATGCAAAACTGCAATATGAGAAGAATAAACCTCAGATCGTAATCTCATATTTGCAAAACCATTTCCTATTCCCCGCCCCTCTCCCAACTTCTGTGTCCAAGTTCAATGAGTAAAATCATAATTTTATCATTTTATTTAATTCCAAACTGAAAAGTTTTGGTTTACATCAGAAATAGTGTCCAGCTTCTGAATGATAAATATGTCTTAAGTGCAGATTTCCAATTTTGAATATGAAAAAACTGCATTCTTGAGATCAGAAACTTTCCAAATGCAAGAGATGTAAATGAATACCTTGATCCAAAATCTTGTACAGTCATTAACTGATTTAAATGCCATTAGACGGCAATCAGCAGCACATACAGCAATGTCATCACGTTCAGCAGAAGCAATTGGTCTTGAACCAGGCTTCAACTCTCGAATGAAAAATTCATTGAATGTCTGCCCAGAACATAATTTAAGTTAGGCATTGTCTAACAAGATAATCACTACCATTATGAAGTTCTATATCATTTTCAGTATGAGCACTGCTCTGAAATTTCGCTCATCTTCCTCAATTACTTGTACAAACAAAACAGTCGTTGCTACTTTATAGTTTAATGGAATACAAATTCTCAGTTCCCTGTCGATCAAATTCTCAGTTTAATGGGGAAAAAAATGCTATATTGTAACTAAAACACATATTGTATCCAGAATGAAAGCCTTTAACAACAGGAATGACAGTCATCAGATTATTTTCAAAAACAGGCACCAAGCTTAAGAATATGTTGCAAAGTAAGCATTGGCTGTAACTTAAGGATAGGAGGAAAGTCAATGTTTGTCAAAAAAAATTTGGCAGGTCATTAACACTAAGACAAAAGATTGTATGCATATGAATAAACACCATTAGTTTAAGCATAATCATATTGAACTGGTAAAGCATTCTAAATAACTAACAGGATCAAAAAGTATGTTCATGAGCAATTGTGCATCAATAACAAATAAACTCAAACTTGATACAAAGTTTGACCCACCTTAAAGTGTTCCAGTGGATACTTGACTTCAGCTAAGTTGATTTGATCCTACAACACAATAGTTACATCTTTTATAAGAAGGGTGTAATTACAGGCCCACAAGTAAATCAAATAAAGAACCTAAGTAGGACCACCACAATGAATGAAACTATGGTCAAAACCCTCAATCAAGGGGCACCACATAACTACAAACTTAGAAGTTCCTATGACATGTCAAAATCAAAATGTGCTATTCACAAGACTAAGAGAACCATTGTCATACCTTAAAAGATTCAATAAATTTTGGTATATCTGCAGACGATTCAGGTGAATCCATTCGTGCTCCCTGTTTTTCAGAGATGCTTTGCAAGAGCTCCTTCACCCCTGCATATGATAGGTTTACCAATGTAAACACACAAACTAACTCAACACAGAAGGAAAATCTTATTCAGATCCATTTTGAATCTCATATTGACTTCACAACCCAGGTTTCAAGTAAGGGTGACCCATATGCTAGAAGGGTACATTATGATAAAACAATTTCTAACTAATTACACTTTTCCTTATTCCTTATTCCTAAACTACTTTAAGCTTAAAGAAATGTCAGCTAGATCTAACATATTCTAAAGGCAATTTTTAACCAGCAACGTTTTCATAGTAAAAGGGAAAAGACAGAGATTGAATAGTAATGATTGAAAGGTAAAATCACTGTATATTGCTGAATTCAATGTATACAAATATAGAGTAATGACTCGTGGATAATACCAAAAGTAAAAAAAAGAAACTAACCTCTATATATCTCAGACTTTCTAGAAGCTAACAAATATTTACAGCCTATAATTAACCTTTTCCTAATATACAAGAATCTGTTGTTGTTGCACGATTGTTGGTGTGTCATTTTGTAATTGTCATGGTCCAAATTGGGCTCTTCATTTGTTAGCTCCTCACAAGCTGTAGGTAGGAAAATGTAGACTAACTCCAACTTGGATAAATTGGAATGAAATAATCTAGGTGACAGAGCTTTTGTAAATATATCCACAAGCTAACGAGAAGAAGAAATGAGAAGTAGATGCATCAAACCAACTTGAGGTTTTTCTCGAACAAGATGACAATCAATTTCCAAATGCTTAGTAGGGTTTGCAGAAATGTACAAAGCGCTTTGGTTATCACAATACAAAACAACTTGCTTAGAACAAGGAAATTTCAACTCATTGAGCAAAAAAGTTAACATTGTAACTCACAAGTAGCTGAGGCGAGAGCATGATATTCAACTTTAGATGATGAGTGAGAGACAATGTTTTGTTTTTTGTTCTTCCAAGAAATCAAGGAATTTTCAAGAAAGAAACAATAGGCAGTCACAGATTGCCTTGAGTCAACACAAGTGGCCTAGTCTACATCACTGAAACCAAGGAGTTGAATATGGGAATATCTGCAAAAGAGTAATCCTTTTCCTAGACAGCCTTTAAGGTAATGAATGACTCTCATGACAGCTCAGAGGTGTGCTGTGTCGGATTGGCCATGAATTGACTAAGTTGTTGTGTAACAAAGACAATATCATGTTGAGTGCTAGTGAGGTATATAAGGTGACTAATTAATTGTCTGTAGGAAAGAGGATTAGTAGGAGCTTCACTCAAATCTTGATGAAGACGAAGTGAATTGTCCATAGCTGTGGGAGATGGCTTGCAGCCTAACAGACCAGAATCATGCAGTAAATCTAGACAGTATTTGCGCTGATAGAGAGAAATTCCTACCTCAGAGTGAACAACTTCCAATCCAAATTCAAAAGTTGGAATGGAGAATGTCTTTGAGGTTAGCAATTTCTTTGACTGAATTTCCAGTCATCACAATATCATCGACATATATAATTAAAGCAATGAATTCATCATTTTCAGCCTTTATGAACAAACTATGATCATCTTGAGCCTGCTGATACCCACAAGATAAGAGTAAAACTGATAGTTTTTCATACCACTTGCGACTGGCCTGCTTCAAAACATACAAAGACTTCTTGAGTTTGCAACATTGTGATGATGTGTGGCTGTTGACACTAGGAGAAATAATCATGTAGACATTTTCTGAAAGATTTCCGTGCAAGAAAGCATTGCTAACGTCCAACTACTGTAATTGCCAACGATTAACCAAAGCTAGAGCAAGAACAATCCGAATGGTGGCCATTTAAACAACAGGGGAGAAAGTCTTAAAGTAATTAATTCCTTCAATTTGAGCAAAACCTTTTGCTACAAGACGTGCTTTATAGCACTCCATACTTCCATCGGGTCTGCACTTGATTTTGTATACCCATTTGCAACCAATGGGCTTGACATTTGAAGGAATATCCACAATGTCCCAGGTCTTATTCAAAACAAGTGCCCTATCTTAGTGTTCATGGCTTCTCTCTAACAAAGGTGCTTGACAGCCTCCTGATAGCTAGCTGGCTCAAGCTCAGATGACAGACACATTAGATAATGATGCTGAGGAGGAGATAGGCGTGAGTAATTTAACATCGACTTGATGGGATGTCAACATTTAGTGGATGATTGGGGAGGCTTGCTGGAGCAAGCATTAGATTCATAGCCATCAAGGTAAGAGGTTAATTGCTAGGACAGTTGGAATGACGCAAGGGAAGGGGTTCTAGTGTTTGCTTTGTCTGTTCATGTGAAGACTTGGTTCAATTGTGTGAGGGAGATGAAGAGTACGAGTTATAATGGGTGATTTTGGGTGTACTAATTTCGGGTAGGTTTTGAGGATTTTGGGCTGAATTGGGCTTTAGAGTACAAGAGAATAATGCATCATGAGTGATATGTGACAAAGGAAGAGATGAATTAAATGGGTGAGAAAAAACATTTTGAAAATCCTTTTGTTGGAAAGGAAAAATCATTTCTTAGAAAATCATTTCTTAGAAAAACATTTCTAGAGATGAAAATTTCTTTAGTTTGCAAGTAAAAAATAACGTACCCTTTTATACCATTTTGAAAACCCGAAAACACTCACATCGTGACCTAGGATCAAATTTTTGATGATGAATTGGTGTGGATGCATAGCCTAAACAACCAAAAATTTTGAGCATGGAGAAAATCAGGAGTTTGTTGATGCAACAGTTCAAAATGCGTTTTGTTTTTAATGACTAGTGATACTAATGGAATACAATTGATGAGATAAATAAAATGTTTAATGGTGTAAGACAAAAAATGTTTGGGTATATGAGATTGAAACATGAGGGCATTTGCTACATTTAAAATATGTTGATGTTTTCTTTCAATTCTTCTTCCCGTTCTGTTGGGGAGTATAAACACAACTTGTTTGATGAATAATTTCCTTTGAAGAAAAAAGATCTTTTAGAAAAAATTTAGGTTCATTATCAGAATGAATGCACTTAACCTTTGATTCAAATTAATTTTCCAAAAAAACAATAAAACTGTGCACATTTAATTTTACTTTAGACTTTGATTTCGATAAGACAACCCAAGTGTAACAACTATAATCATCAAGAATGGTAAAAAATATTTATGACTATAAACAGAGGTTTTAGAGAAAGGACCCAAATATCCATATGAATTAAATAAAAAATTTTGAAAGCTCTATTGTTGCTTGGCTAAATGACAAATATCAAATCTTCATTGATATGTTTAACAATAAAAGGAAACTGTTCATGTAAAACATTAAGACGTTTTCCAGATAGATTTCCTAATCTATAGTATTAGTACCAAAGATTGGAGGAAGTGACAAGGGGAGTGATAAAGGCATTATTAACATGGGAGATTCTGAATGCAAGAAATTGCTCTTCTTTGTTAATTAGCAAATGATATAGACTTTACTTCAGTTTAGCCAAACCAATCATTCTCAATGAGTTCACTTCTTGTATTTTACAAGAAACATAAAAAAAAGTGAGTTTATATAAGGGCAGAAATTAATTTGAATATGGAAAGAAGGTTAAAGTTGAATCCAGGAACATAAAACACATCATGAATAACAAAGGTTGAGTTAAATTGGACAGTTCATGAAAAATAAGCTATGATAGTAGCACCATTAGGCAAATTAATATTGACAAGTTTTAATTTTTAATAAGCTTGAAAATAGCGCAAAGATGAGGCAATATGATCAGTGGCTCCTAAATCTATAATTCAAGGTGCATTATGTGAGGAATTAATTGAAAGTGTGTGTACACTGTGATTCATTTTATAATTGGTGATGCAAAAAGCAAAATGAATACCACAATTTGGACCAAGAAAACAAGTTAGGCCCTTTTTGGAAACTTGGGAAAAGTTAGCCCGAGTGGGCTGCATATTATCATCTGGGCCCACACCATTAGTAAGAGAAGGCTGTTGTTGGAGTAAATCTATGACATGCTGGTATTGGGCTTGGGTGAGATTAAGACTCAGTCCAAGTGGAGAGTGCTCCTTTGAGGGTTCATTTTCCTCGCACAACTCTTCCTTCACGACACTATTGATGGAGGTCGAACCAAAGGCACAATTATGGTATTTTGGGCGGCCAAGATAGCGAGGGTGTCTAGGAGGGTAGCCGTGTTTGACATAGCAAATATCAATAGAATGTCTAGTGCGGCCATAGTATGAACATTTCTTGTTGGAGTTCTCTTTTCCAGCACTGGTTTGTGAGTTTCTAGTACTAGTTTGTGGTGAAGCTCACCTTTTACCGAAAGAAGACAACGAAAGACCCCATTTATAAACGAATTGGGCTCGTTAGAGCAAGGGCTGGAGATTGTTGGTGTTCCTGCTGAAGGACCATGAAAAACACCCTATTGACAGTGGGTAATGGGTCCATGAGCAAGATTTGAGAGCGAACCACAGAGAAACGGTCATCAAATCCCTTGAGAAAGAGAATGATAAAATCTTTTTTGAGTTATGTCTTTGCTAAGCAGGTGCAAACGGGAATTGGGCAATAATTATCCAGCTCCTCCTAGAGGGATTTCAAGCTGGTGTAGTAATATGTGACAGTGCAAGAGTTTTATCTTAGTCCATAGATCTCTTCCTGTAGCTCTATGATGCGTGACAAATCGCTTTGTGAAAAATGTTCTCGCAAATTTGTCCAGATATTTAGTGCACAATTGAAATAAATAACGCTATGAGCAATTGATGGAGACAACGAGTTCAAGAGTCAAGACATGATGAGAGTGTTGTATCTTTCTCAGGAGGAAAACAGAGGGTTCGTGGTAGCAGGAATGAGTATGGAATCGTTTAAAAATCTCATCTTGTTTTCGAAAACAAGAGGCATTTTGAAGGATTGTGACCATGAATGATTGTTGTTACCTACAAGAACAAGGGTAACAAGGACTGATGAAGGGCTCTCACTAAAATGGATATAATAGGGACTAAAAGGGTTTTGGCTTGGGTCATCGTTTGGAGTATCAGTAAGCATAGGACTAGAATCATTATTAGAATTGGTGGAGGCTGTGTCTGACATGATATAAACGGTTGGGTATCAGCAGAGCTTTAGGTGGGAACTCTAATACCATAAAAGGGAAAAGACAAAGACTGAATAGTAATGATGTAAGATAAAATCAATGTATATTACTGAATCCAATGTATACAAATATATAGAGTAATGACTCGTGGATAATACCAAAAGTAAAAGTAAAGAAAATAGTCTATATATAGCTTAGACTATTCGAGAAGCTAACAAATATTTATAGCCTATAAATAATTAACCTTTTTCTAATATACAAGAATGTGGTGGTGTTGTACAATTGTTGGCGTGTGTTGTTTTGTGCTTGTCATGGTCTGAATTGGGCTCTTGATTTGTTACATAGCATTAGTTCTACTAACATCACCAAATAAGCAATTGCCACAACAGAGGGTGGTGACTGATCAAGGTACATATAAATGTAGCCTAGAGCTTCTTTCAACTACTCAAAAATAAATAAATAAACACCCATACCTATGTCCATTAGGCCAAGACCTATTTTTGACTGATAAATGGCTCTCATTGACAAAACAATCTTTTTATCAATTATTTCTTCAACAAGCCTTTGAGACTTCCGATCATATACCTGATGCCCAAAAAAAATTAAAATAAATAAATAACATGCTGAGTGGGTAAAGAAGTACAAATATAGGATTAAAATACTAGTATTTTAGTATTAATTTTCCAATTTCCTCAAATTACCTCATTGTCCATTTGGGGTCTAGAATTGAGCCATAGTGTTGGACATAGGAATTGGTCATACTATTTCCAATTTTTATGTTTGGAAATTCTTTTAGAATTAAAATCATAATCTTTTGAAATTACATAATAACTAGCTCGAGTCATTTCAAATGCCTAACCAACATCAATTCCTCACTCCCTTACTGACCCAATTGCTCTCCCTGTTTTCAGTCATTGCAGCCCCCCCTTTGCTATCTCTACCATCACTTCTGCCATCCTCACCACACCACTATCACCAACGCCACCACCTACACTATCACTTCCGTAGTATTAGAAATTTGGAATTGAATTTAGAATTTTATTTCTATGTCTAATTCTTTGCAAAACTCTAACAAACTATAATTATGAACCAATTCCAATTTTGTCAGAATTGGAATTGAAATTAAAATTCTGAACTACAATTCTAATTCCATCATCCAAACATACCCTAAAGATATCTCTAATTCTCTACCTTGATGTAAATGTTAAGCCAATGCAATTCAAATCCTCAAGAATTGAAGAAGTGTTATGCATGACAAATGCTGACAGTTGGTAATAGCACAGATGGGGTGCTAAGATTGATATATGTTAGCAAAAAGTTCGGAAGCTTTTCTTCTAATTATGGTGGATGTGACTGAGCAAACTCAGTCATTAGCATTAAAAATAAGGAATTTCAAAGTGGTGCTGTACAGCCTGATATGACTTGCAACATACATTCATGTTTGATGTATATCATATAAATATAAATGTGCTCAGTTGCTAAAGTGGGACATATTGCATACCAGAATATGGGAAGCACTTGATCCAGATCGAATACCAACATCATAGGATGAGAAATGGGCCCATTCACTCAATTTGAAAAACCACCTAGATAAACAGAAAATAAATAAATTTTGTATTTTCTTATGTCATACAATCACTACATAACAATAGTCCATATATGTGGCACTAAAAACTATATAATCCATTAGTCAATAAGGCTATGCTCTCTCGTACCCTGCCTTTCAATGCCTAAATTAGCAGCAATTTGAAGAAATTTACCCATATGAAGCCTGTTTATCAGTCAAGAACCCTCCAGTCATCACCTGGTTTCCTGTCCCTTCATCAAAACAAAGACTTAAGTGGATCATGTTGTTCAACTGGTCAGAAATCCGAAGAACCTCACCACAAACAGGACAGCAATTCAGTAATGGTTCCCTGCAATACCAGATGCTAGCTAAGCAAATAAGAATTATGAAACAAATGTAATCAAACTACAGTTTAAAAATGGAAATCCCTACTTGTAGTCTTCCTCACAAACTTCACAGTAAGTCAATCACAATCATAATTATAAATCATCAAATCTTGAAACTGATATAGCAACACCAATTAAATAAATACATCTGTACTTGTAGCAAAAGACAACAATACATTTACAAAATTAAAGTTTTTATCTCTTGTAATCCAGATGAGTCATTACTTTTCTTGATGAAAAGCAAGAAGAGCAGCCAACTCGTCCATGCTCACAACACCATCTCCATTTTTGTCAGCTGCTTTGAACAGCTCTTCTTTCTGTTGAAAAATAAATCGGATTGGTGAGATGGTAAAAACATGTATATAAAACTAGACATATATTGTAACTCATTTCAGCATTCACAAGGTAATGATTTGTTATTTGACCAATGAGTACCACACGTGCTTGTAGTGAACCAAATTCAAGGTTCTCTAAGTTCTGACAATCAAGATGTTATTATTTTATATAACATAGAAGGTAATAAAATCTGAATCAAAGTCCAAATGCAGGCATATAACCAAACTAAACATGATTTAGCAAGAAAATAATTCAAACACAATAAGTAACAGAAAACTATTATATGCAAAATAACTTTTCAAGTCTGAACCTTGCTGGTTGCTACTTGATTGCCAAAGGCATCAATTAAGTCAGAAAATTCAGAGAGTGAAAGCATCCCATCTTCATTGTAGTCCTACATAAAAGATAACTTCTCAAGTTGGTATTAAACATTAGAGGGTGCGGAGAAGATCAGTAAATTTAAATTATCAAGAAAACTAATGAAATCTAGATTGTACTCTCCATGGCCCATAGATTTCAATTATTCTTACATGCAACTTATATAGACTTCATCTAGTTTAAAAAGCCTTCAACACAGATAGCTAGAAAAGAGACAGCAGGAATAAACTGGATTAATCACTCATCAATATCTACAATCACCTAGCAATTTGTACATGTGACAAATGTGTGTTACTATTGGAGACTATACACTATATCAGTACCCTCATGTAAAGGAAGGAGATTATACACTGCCACTTCTTCAGCTACCATCATGTGTGTTTTATTTAAGCTGACACTTGGCACAGGTTATCAGAAAACAAAGGAAGATCAAACTTACCACAATAGATAAAATGCGTCTAACAAAGCCTTTCTCCGTTTCAATTGGATCCTGTTAGTTTTTACTCATTATTGTTAGAAATTTTTATCACACCTAAACAGTTAGAGAATTAACATCACATGTCATATACCTCTATAGAGCATGAAATGGAAATGTTGCCAACCACTTTTCCTGGCACAGATGGATCTAAAAGGTCAAATTTCTGGCTTTCAGAATCAGAATCCTGCACCATCAAATCATTCACAACAAAAGTGTATAAAATGAATAAAGCTGAAACCTAAGGGAACAGAATTAGCCAATAGATGAACAATTCTAAAATTGGCATTTTTTTTAAGTTACCTCACCTTGGTCAGAAATTCAAGTAGATCAACCTCACAGTATCCAACAAGAGTATTGCTGGACAGTTTGTTGGTCTACATGAGAAAAAACATTAAACTTAGGTAAGTATCAAACAACAACAACCAAGCCTTATCTTTCAAGGCGAGGTCAGCTACATGGATCATATAATGCCACCAAGCTTGGTAAAAAATCAAATTTTCAGAAATCTTGTTCATCAAAAGGTTAGGTGAGTATCAAATGATTGCAATTTTTTTTTTTTTTTTTAAAAAGCTTATTTCAGGGTAATACATAATCAAAGAAAGAACTAAAAGGTTCATAATTCTTATAGCACACCTCGAAGACAGAAATTCTCACAACATGAGGCCCGTTCTGTTCCAAAAGAAGTTTCTTTTCCTGTGGAAGAAAATTAGTCACACAGAAGAAAAACTATCCTATTTACTGGATCATTTACTCAAAAGTCATTAAGAAACAGGAAAATAATCAATCATAAAATATCAAAGATGAAAGTGAATAACTAAAGATCACAGCAAATATTTTTTTCTTTGCCATAGAAAATTAATTCTCGCACCCACTCCTATATCTGAATGGATTCAAATTTTCACATTAAAAGGAAATATGTAAACTTTTATCGTTAAAAATAATAGAAAGTCATAAAAGTATCTCGAATTAACTATATCCATGAAAATCAAAATAATAGCACAATACTTTAAACTAAATCATCAGTGCAGAAGTGTTTGTCCTACCAAAAAAATAAATAAAAATCCATGGATGCATTATTATCCTCAAGATGTTTAGTCCAAATACTCAAACAGTTTTCAAGTACGTACGGTATAAGTCTTGCAAAACATCCTTTGAGTTACTTACGTATATAAATATGAAAGTATGTCTTTAAATCAAAACCGTCAATCTACATGAATCACGAGGAAATCATCAATGCAAAAAGATGTAATGGTTTAGAGTACTCACAGAGTTCCAAGCTGGTTTGTCTGTGCTGCACCACCAACAACACAAAATCAATACACGATCGATTAACTACTAAAGACAACACGATTATTCTCTTTTATCCTCTATTTTATATTTCAGTTTTTGAGTTAAAAGAACGAAGCGTGAGATGAGCTTAACTGGTCAGAGGTGTTTGTGCGGAAAGTTTGTTCTCCGAGAGAAAGACACGCAATCCATTTGTCCTTGAATTTCAGCTCCGCCTACAAAAATTCAACACAAAAGTTGTAGTAAAATAGAAAATAACTGTAAATGGTGAAAGGAAAGGAAGAAGCATACGCTGAGGAGGGTGAGGAGAGCAATTCCGGCGAAGTTATCGGCGGAGAGGAGCTTGTGAGGGGAAGAGGAGCTACCACTTCTGTGATGAAGGAAATGGCGATGGTGAAGACGCTCTTTGAGGCGAGCACGAAGCGATCCTTTCCTTTCTGAAGACGATGATGATTTGGAGTGATGGTGACCCATCTCACGCGCAGTCACACTCTCGTGACTGTTTCGGTTTATTCCGTTCGTTTAGAGTGTGTGTTGAGCGTTTAGGGGAGTGAGCGTCTGCGAGTATTCAATGTTCAACTCAGTACGCCGTTGAATCTCTAGTTTTTCCAAATGCGCTCCACCTTTTGTAGTTTTATTTTGTCCTTTTATGCCTCCTTTTTCTTAGTGGAGAAGAAGTACTATTCGCCTGGAAAGAGGATTAAATTTTCAAATCTGTCAAGTGTTTTTAAAAAGTTATGAAATTGAGAATTTTTAATAAATAAAAAATACAATCCCGTACTACTATTATTATTTAAAATTATAATTTTACGTCAAACATTATCGAGTTATTTTTTTTTTACATGATAATTAAAAATAATATATTTCAAAAAATGAGATTTTAAAATATTACATAAATATAAAAACTTAAAATCATTAATAACAATTTTTTAGCTATAATAAATTTTAAAAACTCTCTATATTTCATATTTTAATATTTAATTTTTAAAATTTTAGCTATATTTCACTCATATTTTTATATTTGTTTAATTTTTAAATTTGAATTTTATCTTATATATATAATAATAATAATTAAAATCAATTAGTTTTACTTTTTCACTCAATTTCAAACGAGTGAAATAATTAATTTAGTCTCCCAAATTGACAAAATTTACTTATTAATGTTATAAGAATATAAATTTATTATTTTTATTAATTCGACAAAATTGATTGTAGCTTTTTATTTGGGAAGTGAACAGGCTCGTCAATAAAATTGATATATATATATATTTTAAGTGGTCGAATTGATAATTAATTATTAAATTTATAAGTTTAATTAACTATGTTTTAAGATTCAAGTCAATCAATTATATTAATTTTAAAAATTAATTAATGGTTATTAAGGTTATGTATTAAATTTTATTTTTATATCAAAATTGACAAAGGCCCAATAGGCGAGCCCCAGATTGAGTATGAACTACAAATGGGCTATGTGGTTACTACTTTTGTTGGACTGCAACCAATCTCGCTATCTGAGCACTCGCCCAATGAAAACTTACTCTTTATACAAAAAACATACTTGAAAACATGCTTTTATGTTGAACAAACAAAGTGCTTTTTATAAAATTATTTTATTATAAAATTTACTATCAAATAAAAATTTTTTATAGAAATTACATCTATAAAATATTATATAAATTCTTTTTTTTTAACCCGTTGATGTTTATCAAGATTGTTGCAGTATATATTTTAAAATTTTATAAAAATGAGAACCATTTAACTATATTTATACAATTGCATAACTTATAGCACATATGATAATGTATCTATAAAAAAATGTCTTATTTTAAAATTATAAAAATGATAAATTTGAACCATGTAATTAATATATGAATAGTTAAGAATAAAAGTTAGTTAACCCTGCATTATCATTTAAAAAAAACTCACGTTTACCTTAAAAAAATCATTTACATAAAATGTAATTAATTATATTTATTATTGATATTTTTATAATAATCAAGCATTTTAATTTGAATAATTCGTATAGATAGAGAGATCACATGTTTAATTATGTATTGTATCAGCATCATTATTTGAGTTCAAGTACAAAAGTAATTGGATTTTGAGTTGCGTGGTCACTCCTTGCATAGTTGCATCATCCATATTAGTCTTTATTTGCCATATTGCGCTTAAAAAAGCAATGATCGATTGACATTTTCCCCCCTCGAAGCAATTTTTATATCTATCTAATGTTTTCGGTTGTATAATATGTTAATTACTCCGGTATGGCAAGAGACAAAGTAATATTTTAAAGTTGTCTTCACTGTTCTATATCTTTTAATCCTTTATGTGTGGCCCTCGTGTGGGTTAGTTCCTGAATTCTCATTGCATAGCGCACAAGGCAGTTTTTTCACTTATTCTTTCCTCTGTATGTTAAGATTTGATCACTTGTGCGACAAGTTCTCTTCCTTTGGCACACCCAAACTCAGCATTTTCAACTTCGATTGCCTTTTCCCTTTCGATTCCTTTTGTGTGAGGTTGGCTCATTTGGAACTTTTTGTTGACCTTTGATGGTTGCATGGATCGATTAGTGTAATTAGCTTCACTCAAAAGCTACATAGGTATTGGCTTCATAATGATTCTCACTAGTTGCCCTTTTTGCAATTAAAAAAAACCATCATCATCATCATACCAAGAAAACAAGCAAGCTAGAGAGCAAGAGGGTTGGGATGGATGGTTACATGTCAAACACCTGCCTTCCCTTTTATGTCTTTATATACATAAATTTTGTTGCAAACAACCAAAGCTTTATGAAGAAGTTGAAAATTAGGCCCATTGTCATGACTTTGGCAATCATTATAGCTTCCAATTTGATTTGGCATTTTCAACTTTCCAAGTCAATCGGTAGCACATATTTTATGTGGGATTGGGAACTAGAATCTAATTGTGTTTTGAGTAATGGTTTTTCGGCTCTTTGAAGTTGCCAAAATCACATGCGCACTTCTCTTTCTGTCTCTGAAGGCGCATGTGGCATGTTAACAAACAAGCACGAGTGAGATGATTAGGAGGCTCAGTGGTTACAATCCGATTAAGCAATGAAATAATAATATTATTATAAGTAACAATTGAAAAGCAGGGGGACCCGGGGGGTTGAAGTTCTTTCGTACTAATTAATTGTGATAGACATACACTCGCATGGACAATAACACAATTAAAGGTCCAAATCGCAGCATGCTTTGCATATATATACAATGATACAAAAGGTCATACCCATTATTTCTTGGAAAAAAGGGATACATTCGATTAGAGACAAAGCGAAGTCAAATATTGGGATGCAGTCTAATTCCAGTATATTATAATGTCGTTCAACTTGTATGAACATAATAAATGTGCATTTTGTTTAAACTTGAATACACAACTATAAATACAAGGTCAAAATGTACTTAAAAAATAATTTAAAACAACACATGAAAAGTTCAATAGAATCCATTCATTCTCTACCTATTTCACTTATTTTACTTAAATTTTGTTTTTCCTCTTCCTTATTCATTCCCATACATTTCAAGAATATGAATCCATTTCTCTCCTTCTTACTTTGATATTCATTTTTGTACAGAAACACAAACTTACTAAAATGTTGCTATATATCATTTTATATACAACTAATTAAGTTCAATTAGATGGATTCAATCTTCAAAATCTCAATGTGAAAAGGGCATTTGACTTGAAATTAATATATAAAAATGAAAAATATCATTTTAAATTGAAATCTCAGTTGTTTAATATATACTACCTCCAATCTTTATTATAATAGATTCAAGATGTATTAAATATTAAATTTCTTTTATACTCTTTTTTTATTAATTTTATTAAATATACAAATTATTAACTACATCATTTAATATCATAGATATTCTTAAAATAAAATTTATATTTATAAAAAATATAACTGATTTAATTATTTTTCTTAGTCATAGTAATTTAGTCTTTTAGTTTTTATAAAAAGTACTTGAGCTAATAACTTGGAAGAGAAGTGTTACCGATCAGTTGCATCTTTTTGGGACTTGTGACTGTTAATTAATAAAAGAACCATAATGAATTGAAATACATCTATGATATTACTTGGTAGCGAAGGATTTACGTAAATTGTATTCTTCGTAAATGGTGAATGTTACTATCCAAGTTGTAATGAAGGAATTGTGGAACAACGCATTCTGGACTGCCTAGTTACTAGGAAACGTTGCCTTTTAATGCAGTGATGTACTAGGTTTTTGTTTTGTTTTTATCAAAATCACTGAGAAATTCATGCTTCTTCAGTTCTTCATATACGTTACATGGGGGACCTGTTTTACGCAACAAATCAGGAAAGAAGGTTACTAAATTAAGAGGAAATGAAAAATGGAGAGTAAATTAATGTCATTTGTTGGTTAATGCAAAATAGGAAAAACACAGGTGGAATGAATTTTTCTTAATTAGGAGCAGTGAATATATTCATTATCCTACTCTCAGTTACATGTATGTGTTGGAATCAAGTGTAAATAAAGTTTCACTTATAATTTGGCATGATCATGTTGAGGAATTTATAAGGAAATGGACCTTTCTGTTTCATCTTTTTTTTCTACTCAAATTTTGAAAGAAATCTATTGATGATAGAACAAAACACCTCTCTTTGTTCACATTAAAAGCACACCAATCGTTTTTGTAACTTTTTTTTGTCATCCACAAATCCACTTTCATCTATGTTATTCATTATCAAGTACACCTTTAGCCTTTACCAAGATTATCATTAACCCGGTACAGCAATTTTATTGTTAGCATCTTCATTCATTCTAATTAATCTGTTGCTCTTTCTTCCCTGTGTGAATGTGTCTCTCTTCACGAGCAGTAATACATCCTGAGGGTCATGTCCCTGCGAAAATTACGCATTCATTAATTCACTGACAAATACAAAAAATAAGAACTTATTATCTTCACCATTCCATAAAGTTGATAATAAATTGAATTTATATAAGAGAGCAACAAAAATGTTATAGCGTATGGATTCTTTTATCTCAGCATTTATTTACTTCCCTTCCTTCTTTTACTAAAAGTTTGAAATGTGTATAAATATTTTAGCAACTGTATGATGGTTTAATTTCGATCTAGAAACTAAGTATGTGTTTGAGTGTGATTACTTTTATTGCAGATTGAAAGTTTTTTCGTATGAAAAAATCATAAAAGTACTATTTATTTATATTGAGTTTTGTTGCATAAAAAACTTAAGTACATGATTATTTCAAAAAGAAATAATTTAATATGCTGAAACTTGAGCATTTTAGATTATAAACTACTTATTTTCTAGTTAAATTTTATTTTTTCTCATTTTATTCTTAATAATTAATTATTTTAGATACAAAATCAATTTTACACATAACTTTATTTTTTTATAATTTTACCGAAAAATGATTCTTTTGTAAAATTTAAATATATTTAAATATTTAAAAATACTTCTCATTTCACATATTTAAATATAAAAAACATTTTATATAATTAATTATTATATATAATCACCTGCTTAGATAAACTATTTTTTAAAACTAATCTACACACACTAAGTTCAAATTTTATGGAACGGATATGATTCGTTTCGTTCTGTGGCCCAAATATTTACTAGGCTCAATTATGGTGTCTAATCATGTCAAATATTATATTAGCTCTTGCATATTATTGTGTACTGTATTTGATATTAGATATTAGATTAGATGCTGATGACAAAGATAGCCAACCCAAATTCTTGGACTCTTCTGTTTTTCATCCCTACTTCACCCAATTTACGAGCAGCCTTGTCATTAAATTACAATGCTCCTCATCATTATCAAGTGTGTGCTAGTGGATATATACGAGAAGAGAAAGAACCCCATGCGAATATGGTAAGCATCATGTAATGGTCTGTCACTCTTTGGTGACAATATGTGCATATAATATAGTGCTCACGCTGGGGCTTGAAAGCATGCCAATGCTTGCATCACACATGACTTGATGCTTCCCTAAGCAGCCACCCATATTTATTAAAAAATTAAACCAAAAAAAAAAAAAAAAAGAAGAAAGAAAGAAGAGAAAATGTTCCTTAGCATTGTGACACAAGACAACTAGCTACCAAAAACAATCGCTGTAGGCAAAAGCTATAAAGCTTAATAGGTTTATTGCCCATTGCTCAGTTGCAAGCTTCCCTTACAGTGCTCAATGGGCTCCACAGTCCTCTTCCTCTTCTCACGTTTCGTGAATATTATAACTTTATTCTCTCCACGATCACTGCACATGAGAGCCCCAACTCCCAATTGTAGGGATGACATTTCACATGTTTTTAATACTTTTTTTTTTTGTTATTCAGTGAAATTTCACCTGTGTTTTTTTAAAACAATTTGAATGCACCTTTAATTCGTACATAAAGCTGGCATTTAAAGTTAAATAAAATTAATTTTGAGTCATTGAATATAATTGAGATAAATATATAAATTGAATTATTATAAACTACACATTAATTCCTATTAAAATAAATTTTTCATCAGAAAATTCATTTTTTTAATTTAAATCAAATAAGCTTGTAATTTTTAAACAAAAAAAAAAGTATTATTAGCATAATATTTCTCTCATTAAAGTCTCTCTCTTTTTTCTTCTTCTAAACTATAAATACCATTCCTAGCTAAGATGTAGTTCTCATAGAATCAATAACATCAGCATTCAGATAAACTAATTTTTTAATATTTTTTTCTATATATAATATTAGAACTCAAGACCTTACTTAAAGAGAATTAAATAGATATCACATGAACCAACTATTTGATTCATTAAAACCACTTTATTATTATTACTAGTTTAGTAGCTTGTAAAATGTCCACGTGTTTTATTTTATATAGTAAATATACATATAATTAATAATTAAAAAAATTATTTTGAAATAATTATATATAAATAATAAAAATATTTTGAACAATAATTTTTTACAAATTATTTTGACTAACTTATTTTAACTTAACTCTATAACTATGAATAATATGTATCAAATAATAAAAATTAATAACATTTTAAAATAATACTTTTATTGTACAGTATAAAAGATTTATTAAATATCAATAATTAATATATATTAATAACTTTTATGTGATGAGACTCTTAAATTTTAAATTTGAAAAAATGAAAAAAATAAGATAATTTTATAAATATAAAAGATATTTACGAACAATATAAAAACTTATATAAGATAATAAGATAAAAAGTTTTAGAATAGGTGTATAACAAACGAATTACGAAGATTTTTTTTTTTTTTTTTGTAGAACGGAAATGTTTTTTTTTTTTGAAAGTAAACTCTGGTATACGGGTTAATGGGTTTATTATTATTATTATTATTATTAAGAAAATACCCTCACGTGCACCAACTTTAATGCGACAGTGGTGATGCAAAAAAATAATGTAATGAAACGTAAATTAAGCGCCACCATATCTGGATTTACTGGGTTATTGACCCATGTTAATGGCTGAGAATGGACACTGTGCTGGCGATTATCCACGTGTTCTTATACAGAATAAGGGGCAAACAAATTTGAGGGGCTATGGTAGTGATTAGTGAATTGGATCTTTGAAAGCATGACGTCATTCTGCATATCGTTTGTCCATGAATTTTTTACATATAGTGCCCCACTTGAAGGGCTACTAGGGAGATCTAGCTACACCCATTTCCCTGATTACAATGGCAGCTACACTAGATTTAACTAGACCCAGTAAACAACATTAACGATAAGTAACAAGCAACAATTATTTTACTTAATTTTCCATTTGGATACTGCAACTAGCTGGCTAGAAAGCTAATTGAATCCCTTGCATGATGATCTAATTTGGTAAGCTTATTTCGTCAAGATCATCCAATGACAAGAAAACTTCATCCAAACAAGACAGTTCTGCTCCATTGTCATCGTCTCCATTGCGCTCATAAACACGACATATCACCCATTTATTGTGATCCTGAATCAAACAAAAAAGGGGAGGAAATAAAATCAGCAATCAAATCAAAGTGTTGTACGATTGTTTTCAAATTGTCACTGTATATATTTTTGTGGTGAAACTTTTCTTAACTATATCATACGTATACATTATAAATACTAACTATTTTTTGTTGTGGCTTTCTTTTGGATGATCTGCTGGAGGAAGCAGAATCTGAGAGACGATATTCTTGCATTATCCAATTGGTTTTGATACCAGAAGGGGATTCTCCAACATGGAACACAAAATACTTCTTCATGCCAACTCTCTTGTTGTTTGTGCTAGAAACCACTGGTTCTTCCATTCCCGTTGGCTTCCAATACCCATTGCCAGTGACCCTATTTTGTATCCTTCTGCTATAGTAGTACCATTGGTTTCCCTCTGCCAAAGCTCTACCTGTCCATCAATAATATACATAATACAATATACCAACGTTCAATTTTCCATTTATATATCCTAACAGTTAAAATTGATTGGCATGCATGAAATGAATTGAAACAAATAGCTGTATTGAAAGTTGAAACCAAAACAAATAAAGAATGGTACCGTACCTTCAAGTTCCCATGGATCATAGGGGTAGACCTCAAGATCAGGGATGACATCAGGGTGGCAAGGTAAAAGCGATGCCTTTCTGTGAAGGAAATGAACTACAAGTTCTTCATCTGTGGGATAAAAGCGAAACCCGGGTGGAAGATTAACATTGTTATCTCCCATTGAAGGCACAACAAATGAAATAGGGATCGATGAGGATGAAGATGGTGTTAATGTTCAAGGTGGGTTTGGAAAGGACGGTATTTATAGTGCAAAGAGATAGAGAAGGTAGAGACTTAGGGAGAACAGGAATAAATATAGACAGATAGATATATATCAGGGTTTGACGTGAAATAGAAAATGGCTTTTATCACGTACAGAACAGATATATCTTATCAAAATATTTCATAATATTTTTTTTGGCACGGAAAGACTTAACGCAATAGCACCCAAGGCGGCGGATAACGGTAAACGTGATGGAAATTGGAATGGATAGATACTTCTTCAAGAAACGGGATCTCAACAGTGTGTTTGGAGGGTGGCTGGTGGGAGAGTGTTCAATGTAGTGTGACAACACATTTTTATTTTTAATTTTTGCAGTTATATATAAGTGTGTGTATGAATATATAAGGATAAGTGAAGACTTTGATGGTATGGGTCATCATCACACTTCATGCTGATATCATCCACCTGCGGTTGTCCATGTAGCATACATTAGTATGGGTTTGGTCTTGAGCCAATTGAACTGGGGTGACCCACCTCTTGGGGTGTATCTATATATGCTTCATAATTATTATCAGCAATCACCTTATTATTTTTTTCTATTTAAATATAACAAGAACTTTTTGTTTCACTCTCTACCCATATGCTTGCTTCTGCCTAGCTTTGTAATCAATGAATTAGTAGGAGTAGCCCAGTGGGAACTGCACATACATCCCACATGAAACAAAGCAATCAATGATTTCTTTGGAAGGGGGAGTTTAACTGATTCACTTGGGTCATTGGTGGAGCCAAGGAAGTCCCCACGTTATTTATATAATTATTTATTAAATCTTGCATAAGAAAGAAACAAGTGCATTAAACTACACTAACAATGAAGTACCTTCCTTATAACTTATTCTACCATGAATTATTTACATTTTTATATTATTTACATTTTTATTTTTTCACTCCAACGATGTCGACATTGATTTTTTTATTGATTCAGAAGGTTGGCAGTAATATTTATTCCGTTAAACTAGACATCATTGTTTTGTTTCTGATGACTAATATACGTTTTTACTTTTTATATTACGATCTGACTCCAACTATAATCATAATGATTAAGAGTTAAATATAAAAGAGTTACTATTTACGGTACAAGGTATTTCTTCTAAGTCTTCATTATTAACTACACTATCATGCTTCATAATTGGTACCTAAGTACATTTTTCCTTGCATTGACCCAATAAACCATAGCTAATAGTTTTCGTTACAACACTACCTCTGACATTAGTTTGTTTAGTTATCTTGTACAGTATATATATAAGATATACAAAAGTCAATATATGAATCATTTTTCAACCTTCATTATCAATTTAGTCTTACAATCATTTCTTAATTCTCTTTTATTATGAGCATGATACCTTAGATGGTATAAGAGCTCTTATGCTCATCCATGGCTTCTAAAAAATTACTTCACAGGACTCAGTTTTAGAAAATAGAGCTCGTGGTTTGTTCTAATTCAGACATTCAATAGCCCAATATAGATCAAACTCGATGATAATATTTTTCTAACATGGAAATAACAAGTGTTAGCAACAATCAAAATATTGAAATTTTCAAAATACATATTTGTTGAATCCATATAATTAAGAGAGAAATATCTCTCCCAAGGTGATGTCAATCAAGAAAATCTACAAGTACAGAAAAAGGAAAAAGAAATTAGTCAAGATTACCTGAATAATAAGTAATCAACTCCTTGTTGCATGGCTTTTGACATCGTTGTCACAAGGAGTTCTAACTAAGATGGTTGGACTGGATAATTCATACTAGATTTGGAAGAAATTACAAGTATATTTTGCATCTCAAATCTGTGCAAAAGTCAACAAGTTGAAGTTACAACTTAGAACTATCAAGAAAGGAGAAAACTCGATCAATGATTATTTATTACAAACCAAAAAATTGTAGACTCTCTTGCTTCGGTGGAAGCACCAATTTCTGCCAACAAACACATTAACGTCGTTCTTGATGGGCTCCCTAAAGATTATGATCCTTTTGTTACATCAATAACATCAAAATTCAATCCATATACAGTTGATGAGATTGAAGCTCTACTCTAGCTTAAGTAGAGCATTTTAAGATACACAAAAAAGAATGAATTGTAATTGTTGCATGCTAATTTTGTTGCTGGTTTTTGTTAGTTTGGTTGTTAGCTTCGCTTTTTTATTTGTTTCCTTCGAAGGTGGGTAGTTAATATCTAACTCCTAGCTATATAAAGGATTTAGTTGTTGTATTGTTTAAGTTTTTGTAGATATAAGTTAGTTTCAGTTGTTTGTTTTCAAAACCTCTCTCAAAAGCTTTCCAAAAATGGGATTCTCTTTTTGAAATTCATCAAGATAGTATGGTGAGCCTTCTGGTTCGTTATACTTCTATTATCCTCCTTCTTCCTTCTTGCAATCATGTCTTTTTTAGATTATTCTGATTACAACAAAAACCCCTCAAACTTTTTTTACTTGCATCCAAATGAGAACCCAACTCTTGTCTTGGTCTTGCCACTCTTAAGTGGCAAAATTATCACATTTGGGCTCCAAACATGAGACTCCCCTTGGATACCAAGAATAAGGTTGATTTCATCAATAGAAATCTTAAACAACCATCCAAGACTTATTCCTTGTTTAGTCCATAGAAAAGATGTAATAACATGGTTCTTTCTTTGATTAGAATTTAGTGGAAGAATTAATCCTCAAATCTATTCTTTGGATACAACTTGCTTTGGATACACAGAAATATTAGAAAGACCGCTTTGTACTTAGGGACATATTTTGAATTTTGATATTCAAAAGAAACTTATAGATTGCAACAAGGAGATTTAGATGTCACTGGGTATCTTACCAAACTCAAGACTCTATGGGAGGACTTAGAGAATCTAAGACTCATTCCACATTGTAAGTGTTATATATCTTGTTCTTGTGCTGTTAAAGTAGTCAAAGTAAACTAAGTAGCATGCTATAAATTTGGTCTTTACAAGAACCCCAATTGTGAATGGTATTTCTTCATTTTGCATGCTAACATTTGGGGTTCATACTCTCTAATTTCATTTTTCGGTCATAAATATGTTTTGTGAGATGTTCTTATTTTATAATAGTTCTTTCTCAATTGTCATCCCAAAGTCTCATGGTGAAAGAGGGATAAATTAAAACATTTTCACAAACACATTATCCCAATTAAGACACACCAACATAAATATATTACATAACTAAGCCATAAAGGCATCATGTCCACAATGCATGAATAATTATTACAAACCTTCAAAATTTTTCCTATTTAAATATTATACATTACAAGGAAAAGAAGGCAACTAAAGAAAACAAACACATGGACATATAAACAAGTTAGAATTCTTTCTCCACTTGATCCCTTTCTTAATCATCCTATCCATCTGACGGAGAGTCATCATCAAGTCCCAAATAAGCAACTACAAAGCAAAGAGAAAAAGGTACCTCCATTCTAGCTTCTCCTTGTATGACTATTAAGTTAACATTAGAATTATTAACAACAATTATAGTTAAAATAATAAAATCCATAAATATAATGGTTTGGTTGGAGTCACTAGATTCTTCTGTTCCTATACTAAATGTCAAGGTTTGCATAAGAGTGTTTGGAGTATTTCCACTCATTTTGCATCCATATACTCATATTGGACACACCACATAGAAAAAGGGTAAATACAAACATTTATAAAAATTATATAAGGCAATATTTATGCATAAATGAAATAATTCTTATCTAAAAAATTATATAATCACACAATAATCAATCAATCAATTCAAGGTCTTTGTTTGTAAATTCTCCATAGAGTTATTAATTAATTATCCAATATTATCAATTTTGGGTTGAAATTAAGAGTTGTGTCTGCAATCTGGCTAGTGTCATAGGTATATCTTCTCCTTTTACCGAAGACAAAACATAAGTTCATAATTTTTATTTTTATGATCACTACTAGTAGCCTTAAACCAATCTTGTTATGCTCTAATGCTTGTCATGATAAGCTAGCAAAGTTTCCACTGTTTATGACACAAGTTACCCATGCTTGATTCCCTATAAGTCTTGTCCTATGGGATATTTCATTCTTAGTTCAAGCAGAATCTGAGAGAAAGGCTTAAAGTCAGTCCTGCGAGCTAAGAAAGTTTTTAGTAAGGCTGGGATATTCTCCTTTAAGCCAGTACCCATAAGCAAGGAGTTAGAAGTAAGCAAAAGAGAGAGCGAGGAAGGCTTAAACTTGTAGTAAGGAAAGGAGAAATGAGACAAAGGCAAACTAAGGACCTCTATCTCTAAACTCTAAAAGCTAGAAAGTGCTAACTCCAGGCCTTATCCTAAACCCTTAAATTACAACATCACCGATAAATGTATAAAATGAGTAATTTTAGATGATGACTTGAGCACTTTTCATGTTAAAAGTTTAAATTATTTTGTTAAATTCCTCCTAAACTTGGAACTTTTACAATTACTTGTATATTTCAGGAAAAGAATGCAATTGTAAGAGTTTTTGTTCCTTTTTAATCTATTTTATAGTTGGAATCAAAAGAAAAACATCACTCAAAGTTGAAGAAAATTGGAAAAGTAAGAAAAAGAGCATATAAAGTAAGAAGTTGCAGAAAAAGTTGGCTTCTAGAGGTTTTTCGCTGTAGCAAAATATCCTTGTTGCAGCGAGAATGCTTAAGTTTAATGAGGGAGATTTTGTGCTCCTCTCACTACAACCTAATTTTTATCTCCATGTCTCACTACAGTGACACCTCTTCGTTGTAGCGAGAGAAGTTTTGTGCAGACCAGTATAAAAGACGACTTTTATGTATTTGAGGGACACTGTTCTATTTGATAATTTCAGAGAGAGAGAGCAGTGCAGGACAGAGGAAAAGAGTAGGAATACTCAAGTTTTGATGTTCTACACCTTTTGTATCTCATTTCTTGATACTATGGTTGCAATAAGCAGCTAGAATTTGTCT